TATCTACAAGTACAATGTCAAGATTCTTAGAAGTCTCCAATTATGTCATCAACGTTATGATAATATATTTCTCCAATAATACATTATTTCAAAAATTTATACATGCTAGGCACTTGGGTATATTTACCTCCGACTCTAATCTTCTATTATTTAACACCACATTACTTTTACTAAAAATAGATTCAAATATTACGATTGAGAACGAAGTTAATAGTATAGCGCATGTCATAGCCAGTTGATGCAGCCTACTAAATTATACATTCGTGACTCTTAATAATAACTGTCGAGAGCTTTTCACAATATAAAACTATATAAAATTAAAATAAGCTAATTTATTGGTAAACGATATAGGGTAATTAAAAAGTAAAAACCATAGTAAAAATGTGAGAGAGGCCAAGGGATTATTTCTTCCGAATGTCCCAATTTTTTTATTTCTCTAAATTATAATTCAGCTCCAGTGATTTGCTGTTATTTCTAATTTTCAAAATAGATGCGGTGTTCCATCGCGGATATAATTGATACGGGATTCTTAATTATATGGATAGCGTTGAATCTTCATATAATGCACCATCTCATTATAACGGGTATGTCGGTCGTATATCATAATTGACTACACTTGAGTTACTATGACCCTCAGCATCCAATGCACTATTTAGTGAAAAAGCGTACACTCCAATGTTTTAGTCCCTCTTCAGTGTTTCGTGAAAAGCGTACATATCTGTATTTTAGTCCTACGTCACGTGAAAATATCACGAATTTCCTAAATCAAATATAAATAAAGCGTTTCAAACTCAACCTTCATAACTTCATTTTGTTTGCAAAATATCCAAAATGATTGTGCAGTTGCAGCAAAAGACAAAAAAAAGTGTGCATTTCTACGTTTGTAAGTGAAATCACCAACCTTTCTACCATACTCTCTTCCAAGAAAAAAAGTGCAACACCAATAAATTCACGAGAAATTATCAATTGACCATTTAATCATGATAGGAAGATGACTTAATCAATAATTCGTGCCTAAGGGTAAGGAACTTTGGATAAACAAATGCGAATGATGGCAATGTATTATAATTTTATAATTA